CACCCCCTGGGCAATCTGCAACCCTTTGGCAGTCCCGCGCCGCGTCCCCATCTGCGCCCCCACCCCCACCCCCAAGGACACACCCTTGTCACCTCCATCCCCTTCCCCAGATTCTCCCCCTTCCGGTCCTTAGCCTCAGTTTGTTCTTGAATGCAGACTTGGGGAAGGGGTGTTGGCCGGTTCTCCCTTTCCCCCTCTCTCTGACTTCTGCCCTCTCCTAGCTTGAGGGTGAAGGTGGCCCTTCTGTATCTGTGGTACCAGCGCTGGGGCTTCGGGGGAATTTAAATTGACCCTAGAGCAGTGGCCTTGATAAGGGCCTTGGAAATGGTGGTGGTGGGGGAGGGGGAATGGGGAGCATGGGAAAAGATGGAATGGTACCCGTTCCTTTCCTAGGCATGTCCTTTAATGGAAAGACAGCCTCTCCAGGCTCCGAACCCTGCCCAGCATAGCCTTTTAAGACCACAGTAAGGGCATCTGGGACTTGAAGAAGAAAGATCAGGGAGAAACAGCTTGAGGGTCAAGGTCCAGGACTCTGAAGTCAGACTTGGAGTCCACTCCTGGCCCTGTGTGACCTTGAAAAAGTTACTAAGCCTCAGCTTTTGCCTCTGTAAAATGGGTCTACTAGTCTTGACCTCATAGGACTTTAAGGATGGAAGTAGATATGTTCCCTTTTTAAGCACTTGTCATTGTACCTGATGCATAGAGGGATTAAAAAATATAACCGTTTTATCTGTAACTTTAGAGAAAGGAGGACATGGAAGATGTAGGGAATGTGTTTGCGCGACTTGGCATCACCAAGGGGCTCTAGAGAAAAACTGTTCAGGATAAAAAATTATCAGAAGATGCTATTGGGGCTGGAACAAGGAGAGAAAATCCCGCCCTACTAATTGTGGTCAGACTTTAGGAAAGGGATGATGGTTAACTGTGGGGAAATGGATGTGCTAATGCTAGTGCCATTCTCTTTGACCAGCTACTGAGCTAGCTGAACAGAGAAATTTCCAGATAGAGCAGATTCTCTTGTGGGACTGTGTATTTGAAGCATATTTTACTTATTTGTTAATATTGATGATTTGTACTGTAAAGTAGCTCCAGGAAGGTTGAACAAGTGACATCCCATTGACCTAACTGAAGTTTACGAGGTGTCTTAGGAAAATCATCCCTCTAAAAGGGTACCGTTATGTGGTCTGATGGGCAGAATGTGTAAATGAGAAAGGCATAGGCATTTTGGTAGAACAAGAACAGGTGAATAAATACAGGAATTGAGAAAAGAGTTCATGAGCATATCGGATGTCAGGCTCTAATAAAAATGGGTGTGAAATGATGTATTTGAACCTGGAGGCAATGTTGGCGCTCTTTTGTAGAAGTGACAGGTTACTTCTGGTCTGGGTACACACATAGCCACATCCAAAAGGAAAAATGTGTCCCACTGGGATAGTAATCACCCATTTGTTTAGGAAGGTTGGAAGCCAGACTCGCCAGTATTAATGGATCTTATCAACTTAATTAAAATTCCTCAACGGTAGGTTTTTAGGTCAGTAGTGCCCCGGTGTGAAACCATGGGCACTACCATGCTTAGATGCCTCTGTCACCAATAGCCCAAAAGGAGGCCTCGCACTTGGTTGGTGTCTGTCTCTCCTCTAGTGAGTCTTTGTAAAGGGCAGAGAGGAGAGGGAGCAGGGAGAGGTTGAGTTGTTCTGGGGTCATGCAAGTGCTGTTGCATTCAGTCAGTGTGGTGGCTTATGTATCTTTACTTTCCTATTAATGAACTTCCTTTTTCTTTTTTTTTTTTGAACTTCATTTTTCAGTTGGCCAGCTTTGGGTGGTGGGATGGCAAAACTTTTCAAAAGGTTAAGGCAGTCTGGAGCAATACAGGCTTCAGCTTGGGGATAGGAAGACCGTATTTGAGACAATCATGAAAATGAGCGTATTCTAAAACAATATTAGCTTGAACCATATGAAATTTCTACTTTTGCTGGTCAAAACAGTTGTGTGCTGGCAATTTGATACAGCTTAGACTAATACATTTCCTAATGACAATTCTGTTTTCTGGCATAATGGAAAATGCCAGACTTGTATTTCCTTCCAGGTTTAATTTCTTCCAGTCCTTGCCTTTGATTTGTATACCCTGTGGCCACATTTTATACTTGAGCAAAAGAGGTCATCATTCCAAAGTGTATGTTACAGCTATATTTAGAAATAGGTAGACTTGATTTTGAGATAAGAGAAAAATCACATTAGTTACAACTTTGAAAATGTTCGGGTGTGATATATTCCAGCTGCAGTTTCAACCTAACCGTTAACTTAGTATTTTTGAGATCTGATGTCCCTCATTTCAAAGAGAAGGGGAAAACTTTCCTGGACTTGAGGGTCATCTGAAATGGGGGTGCTGTACCCATGTGACTGAGTTGCTTTGTAACAAGTGCTGAGTGCTCACAGCTACTTAAATTTCCATCCCAATGCAGTGACTTCTGTGTGTGTGTGTGATTATGTTTCTCACCACTGGAAATTTTGTTATTAATTCAAAAATAGTGTTTTATATCAGCAGTTTGAAATAGAAATGAAAAGGATGGGTAGAGAAGTGTGGTGGATTTGAAAATGAAGAAGGTGATAAAAATGCACACTTGCCTCTGTGATCTGACTCCACAGCCCGAGTGATTCTGGTTTGCTTAATCACTGCTTCCCCTGCACTGTTGAACTGTTCCTATTCAGGGACCTGAAGAAAGCTTTGAACTTTTTAGTGATCCTTTACTTTTAAGTCTAAAGAGCTCAGAGTACATCTGTATTCCAGTCTGATTGGGTCTTTCAGAAGGTAACAGAAGTGAACTATTTATAGCTGTATATATGAAATGTGATTTAAAACTTTTTAAAAAAGATTTATTTCCTTATGCATACAAGAACTGGGTGCAGGCCAAAGGTGTTTGGAGGTGAGAGGCTTCACCAGAGACAGAGTGGGGAGCAGAACAGGCAGCTCAATGGAAACACACTGCTGAGGGGAGCAGTGGGGAGACAGGAGAGGTCTGCTGTGCCCTGTGGTTACTTCCCTGGCCTGACATGGAACTCGTGCGGCAGTGACTGTGGAAAGCTTTATAGTGCTGCACTTTAACCACTTGCACCACCAGGGAGGGCCCATTTACAACATGGGAAGGATGTGCAGAGGCTGTGTGCTTTTCGCAAATTGTTAAAACACCATTTTGAGAGAGGTTCCTGTGGTTACAAGTAATAGTCTAGGCACTGATGAAATTCCACCATCTGCGCTAATTTTCTTTTGTCTTCTGATTACTGAAGAAAGGAAATGGGGAATAATTTTTCCCTTTTAGTCTGCTTAGCACTAAGAAAAGTTTGCTTTCTGGCTGATTTTGGAAGGCAGGAACAGTAACTTTAATCCCGCCTGATTTGACCAAATGACTTTGAACAAGTCAGTTGATTCTCTGATCTTTTTTTTTGGCAGAATTAAGCAAAACACCCACAAAACAGTTTGAAAAATGAAAGTTACACATCTTAACCAAACTATCAGTAGGATGTTTTTACATATAGAAAGTTGGTAAGTCATTCACTGTCTGCAGATATTGGAACTAAGATTTTAGATAAGACACACATTTATGTCATCAAATTCAACTTTCTAATAACCACATAGAAATTTCATATTCACTCAGTTATAGTGTGAAACCAGCTTATTTTTGTGGTCCTCCTGTAAAAATGCTCTGTATATACTTCAGTGCACTTAGTTCTGAATTTTTGGGGGATGAAATACATAGGGCGAAAAGTAGGCATTTTTTATTTTAGCAAATGAAAAAGCTTCATTCTGTTAAAGAGCCCCCCCCACCCCCTCACCCCCTATTTTCACCTATGTGCACTCAGATAAATTCCTTGAGTACTGTGTTGTGTTGATATTCCTAGAAAGAAAGCAAATTTGGAAAACAGGGTTGATGTTATAAAACTTAACGGCACCCCTTTGGATTGGGACTTGGGGAATGGCTCATACCCTCTCTGCTGAGTCTTGCTGGATTGGAACACGGCTTTTGCATC